AGGCTGAAATGTCACAATCTGCTAGGTAATTTCCATTGGTCGCTATTTAAAAGTCACATGTCTAGTACAAAGCAATTTAATTAGGGTTTTGTTTCGTTATTCCTTTACTTCTTTTTTTTTTGTTTGGTACAATAAATAGAGCTCTGTTTTGTATGAATACTAGGTGTTATTTTCCAATTTGCATGAAAAAATGGTCCATAAGGTCCTAACAACTCACTGAATCTTAATCACTATGGTTGGCCTAATGGTCAGGAGACAAGTTGCATTGTTGGAAGACAATTTGCATTGTTGTGCTGTCCTAACAATTCATTGGACGATTCCTCACAAGTTGCAGCATCAATTTTACTCTATACATAAAAACCTCATACTGGGTGCAAAAAACATCATAATCTAATATGGCGCGGCGTATACATGCATTGCTATCTGACAAGAAATAAAACAGTAAAGCATTTTAAGACAGGATAACAGTTGAACTCAGTAAACGATTCAGAAGAGTTAGTGCAGGCTTATAACTCCAAAATTGTTCCATTTTTTGGCCTCCTTTTACATATGCAACATGCGGTTTTCGTAATTCTAGGTTTCTACTAGAATTGAAGCCATCGGAGATATGAATAATGCTAGGATGACAGCTGAAATACAATTAATGTGTCAAATATTTTTGTGTTAAAAAAAATTCTTGACAACTAATAACTTTGTATGGGAAAAAAAAAGACAACATAGGGTATATAAATTAACTCACATTGGAAAGATAGAGCAGACAATTATTAATTAATGTCGTATTGCCTTCTTGACAACTAATAACTTCATATAGCAGGAAAAAAAAAAAGGAACATACGATATAAATTAACTAACCACTGGGCCAATGGCTCAGTGGCCACCAGGGAGGGACTTGGGCTGTTGGTGAGGATTCAAACCTCACCAGCAGCGAAAAAAATCCAAGGGTTGTGCCATAGCACTCCCTTGGTCTAGTTTGGTCTGTATACCCACTAGCTCCTACAACAGCTTCCTTAGACTTCCCCTCCCCCTAGATTAGGATAGAGTAGGTTATACAAATGTATCGTTGCTGAAAATATATATATATATAAATTAACTGATCACATTGGAAAGATAGAGCAGACAATTATTAATTGACGTCGTATTGCCTTCCTCTCACGTTAAAAGAAAACAAATAAGAGGTTGTAATTGATGTACCAGATTATGAAATTAATAGTGAAATTAATGCTTTTTGAAACAAGTGCCGGCACCCATATTAACATAAAGAAAGCGATTTCTCTCGATACTTCAACTAGGGTTAATGTTGAATTTTGGAACTGGAAATGTTCTCACAATTTTATTTGCTTACTGCTTAGGCTATTGCATCCATAATTTTCTTCTGTCGACCAAGAAAATATTTACGTAGAGTATGTCTTCAGCCCCATTTATAGACTATATACATAGTAGATTCAATAGTCAATACTGTATAATAATGTAATAAATGTGGGCTGTGAATAATGTATAATAATATTAGAAATTTTGTGTGACTATTACTTATGTCACATAATTATAATCTACTAGTAAACTGGTACACCAAGTCTATGCAAGTATTGGTGCATGGACAAACCTCTAAATTAGTATGGTATCACTTCTTGATATAGATCCCAATTACTTGCAGTAAAGGACATTTTCCTCCAAAGCCAATACTAAATAGTAGGCATCATCCAAAAGTACAACGTTCCGTACCAAAAGGTAAAATGCGTAGAAAGTAAGGTTTTCCTTGGATTGAAGTTTTTCAAGGAAACATTTTTATGGTTTTCATAATCATATTTTATAATCAGCTTTTTATTTCACATACTAGGGGGAGTGTCCGCATATCGCGCGGGTGTTTGGTGCCTGTAGTTAAAGAGAATTTTTCATCGAACAAATAATAGTACATTTTATAAAAAAGTAATCATCAAATATAACAAAACTAATAATAGTATATTCTAATTGCAACACATACTTATACACTTTACTTTATCAATACTTTTACAATTTTAACATTCCCAAAAGATCTCTACAGATGTCAGTTGAAATCACCCAAGAGCAAACATAAGTTGTTTCAGAGAATGGAATATTCTCCAATGGATAGTTATAGCAACGTGTTAATATGTCTTTGTGTTAATTGCACAACAAAAGCCACATTTCAATTAAATGTGTCTATAAAATCATTTCAGTAATTATACGAATACATAAGCTTATATGAGTTGTACTCAATGCAAAAATGGTTGCAAAATAATTTCATATTCCAGAAATATCCAGATGTCTCCATAAATCAAGGCATAATTTGAGAAACCTCTCCTGAGGTTTCTTATAATATCATTCAATTCCTCTGAGGTTTTTAAAATTTCATTTACTTCCCTTGAATTGACATTTCTTGTAATATTTTAACCCTTTTAGAGGAAATACAAGAAAGCTAAAACTTTTGTTCCAATACTACTTTTATATTATCCTACTTATGAAATTATAACAACAATAAAAAATAAAATAAGGTTAAATTTCTTGACTTAAATTATTTATTTTAGTTGTATTGGAACAAAAGCAAAATTTACATCTTGAAAAATTCACACATATGAATAGATTATTTTAGTTTTCAATACGACTTAAACAATACCATGAATTAAAACATATTTCTCCAAAAAATATCTTGGCTTCCTTAATTGTAACTGTGCACAAAATTCTTTAAGGTGTTAATTACTCTCTAAAATCCTCCTCAGTGGTTGATCTTGATTAGATTTAATTTATTCATATCCTTTGCTATTCAACCATGACTTCAATGTAAAGAAATATGGACTATTATTAGCTAGCAATTTATTTTTTTTTAATTTACATTTTTAACTTTTAAAATTTTATTTTGTTTTGGTTTTTGGTTAAATAGTTATTAAAAGCAAGGGTAATGTTGTTAATTTGTGACCTTTGATATGAATATTTAGTCTTGTCAAGTTGACAAGAGAGGTAAGTGAGATTTTAAAATTTTGAGGGGAATTGAGTGATATTATGACAAACCTTAGGGGAGGTTTCTGAAATTATCCCATAAATCAAAGTTTTCAATGTATAAAAATGAGGGCTTTCGCTAAATATATCTAAATACATGCTACCCTCATTGTACTAAAAGTTTTAAAAACAAAAGTACACAATATTTCACATTTCCAAAAAACCCCTATCCATGCGTTTGAAATTCAAATTCCCTTTAACCACAACTTATTTTTATATAGTATAAGAATATCAAATAGTTACAGTATACTTTTCTACAGATAATTCAGAAAATAACAATTCAAATAGGACCTTAATTATTCAGCTGAGCTTTTGAAATTAATGTTTATTTCCTGATTAGATCTTTATTAAGAATCCTCAAAATGAGTTGTAGTTTACAATTTTCTTCTCCTTTCTGTTAAATTTCCATTAGGACTGTTTGTAGTTTTTCTCTACTTTAGCCCATGTTATAGATTAGAAGATGATTATCTCTCTCTCTCTCTCTCTCTCTCTCTCTCTCTCTCTCTCAAGTGCACTTCTCTCTTTCTTTTTTTCTCTCATATTATGATTAAGTATTGATTTTTTATATTGTGGCTCCTAGAATGAAGAAAAAAAAGCACGGTCTAAAATTATGGGAGTGTTACAATTTTGACACCCAAAGTTTAGGCTCTACACACTAAAGTGTTTTCCAAAGTTCCAATAAAAAAAATCTAGTCCTTCATTTCAAAATTTTGATGGAAAAGACAAAAAGAAAATAGAGAATTTGGGCAACCATTACAGGAACATTAATCAAAATAATAAGATATTTTTTCTGAGGATAATTACATATCTTCTGAGTTATATACCAAATAGCATCAATAGATGTAATAATTTCTATAGATTTATGCATATGAGAAAAATAAGATTATATAATCATATAATCTTCCTATAAGTAATGTCTCTACAAAAAGATAATAGTTAAATGTTGTATTAAAGTAGTATAAGTTTTGAAAATTGTAATAAAAGTACCTTTCTTTTGGTTTCATTATAACTTTTAAATGTATCTGTACATTTTTTTTAATTGAATTTAAGAAGTAAGAAGGGGAAAGAAGGATTTGAACTAGGATTTCAAATTCGTACATATTTATACTTACATGCCTAATTATACCGAACTCATGTTTTTGCAGCAAACTTTAATTTAATCGTATATTTAAAATAAAGATTGTACTATATAGCTACAAATAGATTGGTGGATGTAAAGTCAGCATAAATTTGGAATTTCCCAAGTTCGGGTGGGTAGTGGAAGATGGATCGGACTATAGAAAGTACGTGATAAATATGCCTCTTTTTTTTGTTTTTACTAAATGTGCCTTTTTTTTTTTTTGGGATTAGACGCAGTTCGTCTGAAAGCAGTGAAAACTTAGCCGCAGCAAAAGATTTTACATTTAAGGGTGAAATGCACTTTACCCCCTTATAGTTTAGCAATTTTTCATATAATCTCTTATAATTTTAAAGTTATATATAATCCCCGCATAGTTTGAATTAAGGTATCAAAGTGACGGAAAGAATCCTTTGTAACGGAATTCAAAAAAAATGTCAAGAATATCTTTGTTTAAAAACTAAAATGAATTGAAATAACCAAAATATAGAAATGTAATATATAAGACACTTTAATGCCTTATGGTTTTATATTTTAATACGTAATCTCCTTCTAGTTTAGTGGTTTATCACATAACTCCCTTATAGTTTTTAAAATATAGGGCAAATTACATTTTACCCCCTTGTGGTTTTCGCAAAAACCACGTAACCCCCTATGATTGTAAAAGCTATACATAAGCCCTTTATGATTTGGGTTAAAGTGTCAAATAGACGGAAAACATCCATCGTGACGATTCGTGTCTTACACGCGCTTGTACTACTAGTAACAGTAAGAAACGTTCCCATATTACCCTTGATCACTTTAACGGATCCAATAAAACCTAGATCTGTGCTCCTTATCTCTTTCAATGACGGCAATGGATATGGCTCTGTAGATGGTAATGGTGGTGGTTATGGGGCTGGAAGCGGAGGCAGCAGTGACGGCAATGGATTTGGCTCTGTAGGTGGTAATGGTGGTGGGTCGGATAGGGTGGAGGTGGTGGTCCAGGCGGTAAATATGGTCCAGATGGCGGCGGTAATGGTGATGGATGGAATGGTGGTAGCTATGGTCCTGGTGCAAGCAGCAGGCAAGGGAGTTGGGGCAGTAGCTATAGCTACGGCAGGGGCTGGTGCAGGGGCCCTGGCTTAAGATATGGCAGCGGTAGTACTGGTCATGGTGGCGGAGGTAACAATGGAGAAGGGCAGTATGGAATCACTGGTGGGGGCCTATTCAGGGACAATCAGCAGCTCCCATACAGCATGAAACCATGACTAGAGCTCTTGTTTCAGAAATCGCTTTTTTTTGTAGTTGACCAACGGAAAAGCATGGGAGAAAGAAAGATGCAGAAACCGGAATCCTATCTCTTGAAGAGAGGTGCAGAAAGCTCTCCCTTTGACTCTGGTGGGCCTTCCACCACTTTGACTGTTGCGGACGCGAAGAAGAAAGAAGTAATGAAAGGAAAGAGAAGCCCAGGCCGTGTTCGTTGTTGCCTTTTTTGTATTTATATTAGGGTAATTTAGACATTTCGCCCACAAATCGTCACGATAGGTAGTTTCCGTCTATTTGACACTTCAACCCAAACCACAGAGGATTTATGTATAGCATTTAAAATCATGAGGAGGTTATGTGGTTTTTGCGAAAACCACGGGAGGGTAAAATGTAATTTTCCCTAAAATATATAAATAAACCCTGTAGTTAATTAATAATTTTCAATTTTATAGATATGCACTTTAGACATTTTAATTGATTGAAATACAAATTTCGTTACTTTGATATTTTGGTCCAAACTATAAGGAAGTTATATATAGGTTTTCAAACTACAAAAGGATTATGTGAAAAAATACTAACCATGGGGTGTAAAGCGTATTTTACCCTACTTTTTATTGCTTTGTCTTTCCTCAAAGCTATTTCCCTCTATATATGTCACCTTTCTAAGCACCCTCATAGCTCTTAAGTCTGCTACTCTTCTTCTCCATTTCTTCTCTTCTCTTTCTTCACCACTTTTCCCATTTAGATTATCCTGTCTTCCTTTCCATGTACAATGGTGAAGTTCTCGAAAGAGCTCGAAGCTCAGCTCATCCCAGAGTGGAAGGATGCTTTTGTCAATTATTGGATTCTAAAGAAACATGTCAAGAACGTTAAACTGTCAAGAAAATCACACCTTGTTCAAGACAAAACTTGTGGTATTGGTCGCTCCATTTTCAACCCCATCCGCATCTTCGCAAACAAAATCTCTCAAACAGTTCATAATGCTAGGGGTGATCCAGACCTTTTCCAGGTAAGAATGACCATGATTTAACTTTGAATGCGTGGTGGAAAAGTTAATATCCATTAAAGATTTTGTTTTATGAGGCTAATCTTTTAGCTTGCCGTCTTGACTATCTATGCAAAAGTGGCAATTCTTGCTGCTGTTTATTAATCGCACAAGTTAAAGGTGGCAAGACAAACATAAGTTTCATAGACGTCCATCCAAATGCAATGATGCTCTTTCAAGTTCATCTTTGCTTCTGGTAGTGGCCATAGCGCCGAAAAAAAAATGAAAAAAGGATATCATTGTCAGGGAAGAAGTCCAATCTCAACTGTAAAATATTTTCAGGAGTGCTCCGTTGCTTTCTGCTCCACTACTAGTATCCCATGATCCTCCTTTTTCGCTATCTTTTTCACAGTTTCATAAAATATTCTTCAACTTTGTGGGTCTCCAAGTTCTGCCGTTTCGTTTGGAATATTCATTTCTTTTGATCAACTTTAGCCCTCCCGAAAATCGAAAACTGGCCATTGAAGTCATATTCTGGTGTTTTGAAGTTGCAAAAGATGCATTTCCACGATTTGAAAGGTGGATACAATAGCAGCGAGACGTTTGTGTCATGACATATCCGTGAAGAAAAGAAACAGTTGTAACAACCCGAAAAAAGATGTCGATGGAAAAGGACACAAAAAAGAGGAACTAATTGACGTTTACGCAAATTTTTCTTTTTCGTTTTATTGCAGGTGAAAAGGAAGATCAGCCAAGGTGAAGAAGGTGTAGAAGAGGAAGGATATGAAAAGGAGCTGCTTCAACTATTCTCAGAAGAAGATGAGGTGACAAACAAAACATACATGCACATATCAACTACCTTGAATTTAGTTGTCTTATGTTTTCTATTTCATGTAGATTAAGAATTTTAGCACTATCCCATGTCAGGAATTTATTATGGCCATGCATGTACAGATTCAGTTGTTCTTCGAAAGATTGGACGAAGAGCTTGAAAAGGTGAACAAATTTTATGAGGCTAGAGAAACCGAGTTTCTTGAAAGAGGAGAGATTCTGAATAGGCAGCTTCAGATATTGCTGGACCTCAAACCAGTCCTGTCTGACCGACGCAGGAAATTGTCTCCGAGATCCAGTAGTGGATTTCTCTCGAGGTCTTATTCATCCTCAACCAGAAACTCAGACTTCTCTGGTGAGTTCTACGCCTTTTCTCTTGTGTTTTTTTTTTTAAACTCATAATTTAATCTCTAGTGCTTGTTGATTTACCACATTTGATTGCACCAGAGAATTTAAACAGTAACTCAACAATTACATAGACATTAATATGTTTATCAATTTTCATAAAAAAAAAAAGGAATGAAATGATCATATGAACCATGGAATCTTTCCAACAATTGTGTATTGTGTGGAACAATTGTTTGAGAAACTCAACCACCCCTCACTATATATTCATGGGCCATGGCTGAAATGTGTGCCTCTTATGCGTTGACCTATGTGGTAAATCACCTGAGTGGAAAAGTACAACTTGATGTTGATTTGAATTCCTCACCTGAGTAGAAAAGTACAACTTGATGTTGATTTTAATTTCAGAAAATTTAGGTGGTCATAAACTCTTGGGGAAGGACCTATCAAGTTGCCAAATACATCATAAATTTTATTTATTTGAAAAAATAATTTTCCGGGCTAATTCTAGTGCGGTACCTTGAAAATTATATATATATATATATATATAAACGAATAAAAAAATAAGCGAATTAGTCGGTCGATTGCTTTTGGATTTTGGGCAAAAGTGAAACTTGTCCGGTAAAATATGTTGGAAATCAAAATACTTCAAGCCAGGTAACTAACTTGACTTCATTTTTTTTTTTATGTGCCTTTCTCTTTTTTGCCTTTAGACAATCATATATTTCTGAATCGTCATTTTGCTCTTTCAAAATCTTCAAGTTGTTTGTAGATTTTTTCTTGAAAAATGTATGAAGAAATGACTAATTATGATTGTCTTGTAACTTGAGAAAGTATGTAAAGTAATGATAATTTTCAAACACTAGGGTTATTCTTTCCTTTCTCCGGGCTCCCTAGATTTCTTTTGACTGAATAAGCACAATTTATTAAATACAAGTCCAAAGTACATAAGTTTCAAAATTCTCAAGTAGTGTTTGAGAACTAAATTTGAGGACAATTTAATTAAAATCTTGAGGACTAAATTTGACATGCCCGTATCAAGTAGTGTTTCGAAAGACCACTTTGTTTAGCCCCATAAAAGATGTTTGCACCAAATCTTAAAGCAATAGTTCCTCCATTTCCAACTTGTGGTCCACGTACAAAACACCTGTAAATTGTGTGTCTTGCACACCATGCATCCACTCCTGCCGCCCAGTGGAATCCACGTACGACTCATTAAGCTCAAACCCAAGTCATTGAACTTCAAATTACAGCCCTGAAAATTGAGAGATCAGTCAAAAAAAAAAAAATTAAGGGGGACATAATGAATGTCCGGGAAGACCTCTTTCACGGTTGAGTTTAAAGAATCCCCCTCCAACGTATAGTTCTTCTAGCTCATGGGAAATGGACTTGGTGGTTGTCAATTCGACTTGACAAAGCAGAGATAGTCTTTTTTTTTTTTTTTCCCGAAACGATAGAAAGCAAAGATAGGGCAAAGCCTCTCAATTTCTTGCTTCACTATAATTCAGTTGTTCCGTGTTTATTCAACTAAAAGATCAGATTGACATGCCAATTGGGTCAGGCTACAATTGTATAAAAATCTTACTTTTGACAACATAAACCAAAAACGAAAAAGCAAAGGGAACATGATGTCAAGGTTATATCTCCTCTAAGATTTGCTTCTAGCGGTGTCCTAACCTGATATGGAACTGAGCATTTTTTACGCTAACTTGGCTTGTTGGTAACTAGTTCTTCAATACATATATATATATATATATATTCTTCATTTATAATGCTTAAATATAATTGCTGGCAAACATGTGAGGGCAATCACCATATGATCCTGAACCTCCTGCCTTGTGTACTCCAAAAGGTTTCAGGATATTGCTGTATATAGGTGATAGGCAAAGGCAAATTTATGCCATTAGATGTTTTTACCTTGTCATTTAGTTAATCACAATCATGAATTTCATCTTTTATATACTAAGGTGAAGTTACCTAGTTAACAAAGTTTTGCAAATTCTTTTTTTTTTCTTTTTTAATAAATTGAATATATGACAACTAATCGGATTTAATACTTTAAAAAAATACACGTAGCACTTACATGTAAGTTTTTTCTTTGTAAAACGTACATGAGTATCTATTTCTGAATTGACATTTATATTTCAAATAATATTAATTTCCCAAAATTAACTTAGTTCCACAAGATAGTGTTCTAAATCTAGTGTATAATTGATGAGGTTCTGATGAGAAGGCTAAGTAGCATCAATCAGCTGTTTATTAATACGCCACCAATTTGCATGGTTGAACTAGATTTTTTTTCTACATGTTTTAAAAAGACAAATATATTACCGCTTTGCAACTTTTAAATATGTCTCTTAAATCTATTTTCATGTCTTCTCTTGCAGAGACTCAAAGTGAGTTCAGTGATACCCCCACAGAAACGTCCCAAACAGATGATGTTATTGCTGCTTTAGAAAAAAATGGCATAAATTTCATCAACTCAGCAACGAGATCAAAGACAAAAAAGGGCAAGCCTAAGATGGCCATGAGGATTAATATTCCTGCTACTACCCCTACACGTACCATTGCTGCTGTTACATCGATGCTTTGGGAGGATTTGGTGAACAATCCTAAGAAAGAAAGTCCAGGAGATTGTATCAATAGAAAGAAGATTCAATGTGCTGAAAAGATGATTAGAGGGGCATTTGTGGAGCTCTATAGGGGCCTGGGATTACTCAAAAGATACAGGTTTCATACTGGATCTTTCTACGTTTAATCAGCTAAATTCATCAAGATGCATGGACTTATCGATTTAGTTTCATTGCTGAATTACTTAGCCATGCAAAAGCTTTCTTTTAT